CGGAAATTCGCCGTTTTACGATGCACGATTACAACATATTCTCTTTTTCTGAAGGGAGAGAAAGATGCTAAGAAATGATAGCGTTCGATTCTTATAAACGCCCTGGTAGTTTCTGACATTTATTCTGAATCTTTTTTCTTATCCATCAAAACGTGATACAGTTCATTTCTTCCGCAGCCGGAAGAAGAATTGACGGAAGAGTCCGGATCTGTCACCAATATTCTTCGCCCTCCTCTCGCGCAAGGACCTCACCAGTGGAGCGAATTCGTCGCAGACCTCGATCAAGAGGAACGGCTGGCACGTTTTAATGAATACGCTGCGAAACTGACCGGATGCAAACTGTCGTTGTTATTATTTTAATTTCAATGTATACCGCGTACCAAACTCCTTTGTTCTTGTTGGACTTAATGGATAGCGTCATAACAATCGTAAATGTTATTGAGGGTTAGATCAAGTAGTCAATCGTTGGCGCCATCTGTAACATTATTAATGTGTGTGTGAGAAGAGTGAGAAAGATAGACAGAGGGACATAGATAGAGATAGATGGAGATAGATTGATAGAGAGACATTGATAGATAAATTTATGGAGAGATAGATTGATGGATGGAGAGAGATTGATGGATGGAGAGGGATTGATGGATGGAGAAGGATTGATAGATGGAGTGGAATTGATGGATGGAGTGGGATTGATGGATGGAGAGGGATTGATGGATGGAGTGGGATTGATGGATGGAGAGGGATCGATGGATGGAGAGGGATTGAGATAAATTGACAGAGAGACAGAGAATGACAGAGATAATTGTTAAAGACAACTAAATAATAGATAATATGAGACCAATAAAACCAACATAAAATTATTTTCTGATATTATATTCTCATAACGATTATACAACTTTTGAGAATTCCTATTTTCAATACTATCTGTGTCACTGATATTATTATTACTCTTAATGTTATGAATGTGACGGCAAACTGCGATAATTCAATTGTTAGAAACTTGCACAAATGCTTCTGCATTTACATCAGTGAAATGAAACCGATTTTTATTCAATAGTACAATGACAGGGCACCATGTACGCTGATAGGTGCGGAGAAGAGACGTTAGTTTCGCCGAATTATAACATTTTTAAAAGTGTTTGGAGGAATGTATTTCCATGTTTTGGTACATTAATAGAGGTAGTAGTTGAAGTGCTCCAAATTTGGAGCTGCCAGATTAATGTTTTTATGATTTTTTTTGTATCCGTTACAGCGAGAATACGATATGGAAGAAGTAGAAGATAACTACGGGTGGTTCTGCTGACAATCGTTTGCGAAAAACTATCTGCTGGAATTTCCAACGAGTTTTAAACAACTTCTGTGACGCTCTTTTGCACGAAAATCGTTAATAAAATGTAAACGAACGTATTAATTTTATTTACTAGTATATACACAACAAACCTTTCTAACTTTGTAAATTATTTTAAAAGTGGAAATAGTGACAATTAAATCCAACATTAAAATGCTATCACGATCTATAATATTCATTAAATATTCATATCTGGTAAAGTGTGGGAATGGAAATTATATTGCTAAATCTTAATTATCAAACAGAAATTATTGGACCTGTACAATTACATTTCACGGAATTTATAATAGACGATTTAATATTTCATAGATTTCGAGAATTGTTTCATAAAATATACAAAAATTATTAGCGACGTTCCAGATAAAATAAACTTGTAGCTCTCTTTGCGCCGTCATCATAATCTTTATTACAATATATTGGATTAAACAAAATTGATGTTAAGATCCCAGCATGATTTATATAGCTCTTTAATGCTGTCAATATTAATTTTTGAAATTACTGTTGTTATTAGCTTATAATGCATGGTGCTTCTCTGGTGTTAAAATAATTTTATATTTCTAGAACCTTCATCGAATAATTTCAATTTTTTCGCTTACTTCTTATTCTTCCTCTTTTTCTTCACTTCTCTCTTCCCTCCCTCTCACAAATGTCCCCATTTTTACTTTATGAATCCTTCCTCTGTATGTCTTCTCTTTCACTGAACTTTTATATCAGTACTATCTATAACCTATTCATTTCTATTAATGATCCGCCCCTTAGCCGCCATCCTGATTGAGGATTTTCTTCTTCATTTTCATTTATGTTTCACTTTTCTTATTTACTCTTCTCTTCCACTTTTCTCCGTGAGTTGATAATGTTCGGCCCTAAGCTGCCAACCTGATTGAGGTTTTCTGGGTTTACTCAATAGCTTAAGGCGTATGCCGGTATGGTCCCTAGTTTGGGGAAATAAAAAGGGAAACAAATGAAAATGGAGAAGAAAATCTGAAAGAGAAAGAAGACGTAAATATACAGCCTCTCCTCCCCTCTTAAAATGTTACTACTCTGTATGAAAGCAAATTCAGTGGTTAGGCAGAAGAGCAGGCCCTATAGCCTGAGCTTAGCCATTAATAAAGGCATTATTATTATTATTTGTTTATTCTCAAAGTTTTTGGTTTCACATGGATACCACACAGATACAATATCAGAGCATGGTAACACATATTTAAAATCTACAAAACAAATTAAGGCATTCTAACACATAAACATAAAATAACTGTTTTCAGATTGTAAACATAGAATAATAGTTTTCAAATGCGAATAACAAATACAATTTCAAGAATGAGCTTTCAAAACCCAGCATGTCCTCCCATGAATCTCCTGACTAGTGAACAGGTGCTGATTATAACAGACTTCTGGAGGCCGATGATAATGCTCTTCTCCAAGGAGAGATCTTCCAGCGATCTGCAGAGAGTTTTGGGTATCACGCCAGTTGCTGATAGTACAATTGGGATAGTTTTCACTTCTGACACTCGCCATTGTTCTTTTACGGCAAATACTAGTTCTCTGTATTTGTCGATTTTAGTCTGGTATGTTGTCATCATGTTGCTGGTATTAACGACTGCAACATCAATAAACCAAACTTTCTTTGCAGATTTGTCCCAAAGAGTAATATCAGGTCTGTTATGCTGAATTGTCCTGTCTGTCAGAATACTGCGGTCCCAGTATAACTTATGTGTATCATTTTCTAGTACCGCTTCTGGATGATACTGGTAGTATGGTGCATCCAGTTTATGAGGTAGCCTGTGCTTTTTAGCTAGTTTGGAATGAATGATGTGGCTCACTTGATCGTGTCTCACTTTATAGTCAGTGGGAGCTAGACAGCTACAGCCTGATATAATATGCTGAATGGTTTCATGATCTCGACCACACATGCGACAGTCATCAGTTAGTACTCCTGGGTCTTTGATGATATATTTTAGGTAATTCTTTGTGGGAATCACCTGATCTTGTATTGCTATCATGAAACCTTCGCTCTCAGGGTACAAATATCCTATACTGAGCCATTTGTACGACATTTTTTGGTCGACATTTCGATTGGCTACTGCAGCAGGATATGCACCGTGGAGTGCTTTTTGTTTCCAGGTATCGATCTCTTGCTGCAAAGAGAGCTGATGAACTTGCATATCTTGTTTTAGATTGAGGGGCGTGTAATTATCATCTGCCTGCATAAGTACCTTGTGGAGTAGAGAAGTGCCTACCTTTTCTGCAAAATACTTCCTCATGGCTATTATCTGTTTGGCATGGAGATTCGTGAACTTCACAATACCACGCCCTCCCATTTGTCGAGGCAGCGGCGAGGTTATATTAATATTATTATTATTATTATTATTATTTTATTATGCACATTTATGCTCCTCTGCAACTCAGTGAAGGTACCGAGAACTAACCCCCTAAAATGTAATATTAAGTTCAAAACTTATGCCATTAGGTTGCGTAAGGTTCCAGAATCAACTCGAACCCACGTTTAAGAACGTAGTTTTTTCTTGAATTGAGTAAAATGCTTTCATTCATGACAGGTTTTCGAATTATTCCCCCACCACACACTAGGTTCGCGAAATTGCTTGCGAGCTGATGGCGAGCATTCACGCTTGTCATAACTTACATGTAGCTCTAATATCTACAGCAACAGACGGGATAGAAAAAATGAAGTTACAACTACCCAAGTCCTCGCAGATTGGGAAAGGCAGACGGTCGCAAGGCCTAAATCTCTTGGTGGACGAGAAAACGTCCATTCTGTCCCGAGTTACTCAGCGCTACTCACGTCGTTAGCTTCAAGGGGGATGCAGTGAGAAGGTGGTTCGCCACCGACCTTTGGGCAGGATTGAGTTCGGAACTTTCGCTAAATCCACATATAAAAATCCGATGCGGAGCGCAAATCCCTCTGTCATCAGTGCTCGCCGGCACTTGTAAACGGATGATTTTCCATGATGCAAGTCAGAATACATCTACTGTGCCATTACAAATTTATTGATAGGACATATTGTATTACTAACGCAACTTGAACGATAGATTGAAGAAATGCAGGTAAGGTGCTATATCCAAAAAATAACAGTGATTTCTAAAACTGTTTTTTATTTCCACAAGCCAACAAGAGATTCACTAATACAAGCCAGGTCGAACAATACTCCAGGAGATATACCGGGGACGTTGCGATGATTCGTTGCAGGAAAAGTCCGAGTTCGTAGCCGTTCTGTTATACGCTTTACTTGACACTATACACACTCCAAGCCGGCACTTCACACACTGCTATCACTCGCCGGGCACCGCTTTTATAGCCCGCCCGGGCTGAAGGTCCGCCGGCCAGCTGCCCGATAAGGGTGAGTTCTGTGGTTCCGGGGCCTGGCCGAGCGTGACGGAGCTGCGGCGTTAGTAATCGGCGCCCTCTCTTGAGCGGCGCCGGAACCACTTTCCGTCGGCAACTTCAAAGGTGCGCGTTCGACCATATCATAAGGTATTAGCTATTAGTTACGAAATCGGCCACTAGATTTTATGCAGCAATGCCCATCTCTGGAGAATCGGTCATGACTACACAAATGTTTTAATAGTTTGTGTTTTAACTTTCTCAGGCGTTCGAGGTATCTCTTGTAATGGATCTTCACCTCCTTCGGTCATTTCTTTAGAATATTTGGAGAAAGTCACGCAAAGAAGTTTTCATCTTCTACACAAAATAGCTTCTATTTCGGGTCAGTGAAGATGTGTTTGGTATGTTGTCATCAGTGCTCGCTGCGAGCTTTTGCCTTCAAATGTATATTGCGACAGAGAGGGGGAAGCAAGGTCATCGTTCAAGAAACGTTGCGCGATTAATACATGTTACATCAGGAGACCTCAACAGGGGGTCGTGTATGCGTGTTGTATTATACGAGTGATGTTGAGTGAAAATTAGAAAAAGACCTTCACTTATTCATGAATTAGACCGTTTCATGTGTTGCGCATGAATTAGACCTTTTAGTGCTATACCGACTACCGCGATCGCGTTCCGGTTCCGACTCCCAAGTCGCAACAGCGTCACCCCGCTACGCGCCCAACCAGCCACCACCACATGTTACGAGACATCGGCGACAGCCATCGCTCGATTTAGCGCCTTCTACAACAACCGGGGCACCTACAACAGCTCACCAGCCGCGCCTCACAGACTTCGCATCTCCACCACGTGACAACATGACGGACAAAACGCAACCGCCTGCGGCGCCTTCTCAAGGTATTACCCTCGTATTAGACGCGCTACGCACGCTGTTGCAGGCATATTGCGAAGCGTCAGAACAGCTGAAGTTCGCGTTTTGGATTTGAATCTCGCGTGGGTGACCTTGGAGAGTAATTCCCCCTGGCAACGCTCACCTTTGGCATGTTAGCTATTTGGTGACGCGCCCACCAGTATAGACGCACAAAGATCCCCTCAGCTTGTAAGGATCCGCACACTCACAATGGTCAAGCGCGTAGATGGCGAATCACGGTTGCTCATTTAGCGTTACTCAGGGGACACGTGTGGTAGACCACGGACGCGAGCAACTTTGTCCCCGCTGTGAATTATTACTATTATTATTATTATTATTATTATTTTAATTATTATTATTTTAATTATTATTATTATTATTATTATTATTATTATTATTATTATTATTATTATTATTATTATTATTGGATTAGGAGGTGATAGGATATTGGTGAAAGGTGATCATGGACTTTTTGAACCAACGCAGCATTTGCCTTATGACCGAGGAAAACCTCTGTCAAGATGGCCGGCCGGCATCGTCGATCGACGGCAAAGGCCCTTCACAGATGTGAGGCGAAATGGTACACGTAAGCTTCCGTGAATAGAATTCACGTCTTCTTGGTTGTCCGGGTGACACCACGTCGTTGGCTGAGAGGTCGACGTTGTCGCAGGCTTCCTCAGAGTACAGTCATCACTACCCTGAGGAAGCCTGCGACAAGTCAGGCGAAACGTCGGCCTCTTAGCCAACGACGTGGCGTCACCCAGGACAGCCAAGACGTCGTGAGGAGACATTGATGCCCGGCGTCGCTTCCAGATCCCACACCTGGCGACAACTTTCGAGTTCATCTGCGACAAAGCGCTTCGCGGGCAACAAGCAAGCTGGGGAGAATAAATGTACACACATCACACCGGAGGGGAGACTCGTGGCCGCGTAGGCAGACATAATTTCTGGCGGGGAGTTAAAGGCGACCATCTGGACCCTGAGTTTCTCGGCGGTACTCTTGTTGTTAGCATAACGGTGACTGCAGAGAGTAGGCGATAGTAAGCTCCGTGTTGCCCGGTTCTTGTGGGATTCTGGCGCTTCGACCTTTGGGGGGGGATTGGACGAAGGATTTTCTTTGGAATGTTCCAGATCTTACATACAGAATATGATGGGTTGTTACAAAGAGTAATTAAATACAATAATAAATTTACGTAATTATAAATATGGACAACAATTGGGGTATTCACAAGAAACCGAGGCGAGCTTTATTTTGGAAACAATACAAGGAAGGGACAACAGAATTAATAGTATACGTATTATGTTAAATTGCGAAGGAAAATACGTAATATTTTAAGAAATAATGCAGGAAAGGTCACGTGAGCAAATTCCGCGGGACAGACAATAAATTAAGAAGATATTACGAGCAGGAAACCAAAGAATGAACAGATACTATGTTAAATGTGTGTGACCAATCAGGAGTGAGATGAGAGACAGTTGAAGGGCGCGCGTGATGAAAAAAACGAACAGACGGTGTTTGCACACGGTGTGAGTCAGATGTAAAAGGAAAGGATGTTTAGTTGCGAAAGGAATTTGACTGAGTTGTTAGTTTGTAAAGGCGATGTTTATAGGATAGTAGATGTGCAATTGGAGAGGAAATATAATTACGTGTGTAGAGAGCGCAAACACCTCCGGACTAGACCGAATTCTTGTGGCAATGGAGGCTGAATGGAAGCTTGACGACATTGGAGATTGTGGTGGAAAGTAGCAAAGCAGCAGTAGCAAGAAAAGTAGCAAAACGGGGAACATTTATTTTTGTTTGTATTTGCTATTATTGGAAGACCGAGTTTTGTGTAGAAGTAAAATTTCTAAATTGATGATTGCGATGCATGGCCGGAGTTTGGCCATGCATGCAAATAGGGAGGGATTTGTAGGATATACATTTCACAGCTTAATACATACTGAAATGTTGAAAAGTGAAGTAAGTGTTATGATTTATGAGCAAAAAACAAATAAAACCTTTAAAATTTTATACTCATATTTTAATATAAAAGTTTAAAAAATGAAATGTACATAAAAGTCTAAAAATCTATTACAATTATAAAATCAATTTAGACGGTCTGCTTATGAAACTTTTCAGCATGTTTTCGCGTTATCAGAACTTATCAGAATCAGTATTTTAGGCGCCTAAAATGTGAGTTTTTGGAGAATAATTTCTGATGTCTGTTCAACAAGGAATTGTGCGTAGTACAGAGGACAAGCTGGTTTGAAAGTGGAAAGCGATAAGTGATAAATGAGTCATCTTGTGAGAGATGCACAAGAGTATGAAACTGAGATAAATCGAGATTATCGTTTAAATTTGTTTTATCAATAATTAGTAAAATAGAGGATATATTTTTCCTTGTTATTTTCAAGATAAACTTGTTTATTTTGGAAAATATAATTTAGCAACTCTATAAGTATTTTACAGATGAAACAGATCCATAAAACAAGGATTTTTTTAACAATCTATAGATTATTTTTTGATTATTCAATTTTTTTAAGTTTGAATATTATTTTCTTGTAGTGACACCTGTAAATAACCGTTTTAAAGGTTGCAAAGTCCTTGTCTTTGAATTAAAAAAAAGTTCCATGCTTTTAGCATCTGTTAGCGTGTGGTGGTCGCAATTACGGTTAGACGTAATGCACATTCGCAAACAGGTTGTTGCTTTTTCTTGAGTACCGTTTTATCTTATGTGTCTCCTACATTCTTCTTCACTATTACTCTTCCTAGTACCTTCTTGTCTTGTCCATTTCGTTGCATCATGAATTCGTTCTTGCCACTTTTCTCCAAGGTGTCTGATACGAATCCATTTATTTTGTTTTCGGGAGCGTCAACTGCGAGGAGAGAATGAGACAAGGATTAGGAAGGAAAGATCGTGCGTTGTCGTGTCGTGCCCCGTTTGTTAGGGTTGAACTACTCTGGTATTCGGCTAAAGTTGTTAGAAGAAACAAGAGAAAGCTTCTGGTCAGAGTAGCCGGCTGTGGAATTATCCTAGAGACAGTGATTGAAAGTGACCAAGTTATCTAGCTATTGTCGAAAATACGTTGGGACTTGAGCCTTAGAACCTCCCAGTCAGAGACACTGCAGTTGTTGTCATGAGACATCTCAACCGGTCAGGTGGGTCCTTGTTTCTTAATGAGTATCCTACATTCTACATAGTGTAACCAATCAATACTCTTCCAAAACATGGGATACTGAAAGCCCGTGAATCTGATATGTCAAATCGTTATTGAATATCAACTGTCAAGGTAACCTATATTTATATTCTCATGATTTTACTTATGTTCATGTTAGTAATACTATATTTTGGTGGATTGAATATCGGATGGAACAAATCTGATGTTCTGGTGCTCGTGTGGGTATTATGAACGACACACGTGAATGTGTCTTACCGCCCTCTTTCACGGAAATTGTAGGAAATGGGCGTGTCACCTATTTTAAGAGATGGATGTAATATCAGGATGGATTGTCATACAATTATGGAATTTACAGAATAAACAAAAGGGAAAAATAGGATATGGTTTATATGAAAAAGTCAACTTTTTTTAGTTGTGTGGGTTAGCTCCCTCCTCTCTCACTGTGCACCTCAAACGGCAAGTGCAATAAGGACAGGGAGCCAATGCCGAAACGTTGTATTATCCAGACAAATACCCTTACCGACCAAGCAATGGGATGAGAGATTAAGTGCAAGAGATTAAACGATATTATACGTAAAGTTATAGTGCAAATTGGATGAAAATGTGATAACGGAAGGTTTTCAGAAGGTACTGATATCCGTCGTCATTGCATTCTATCCACATAAAATATTTCAATATGATAAAAATGAATTTTAAAATTAATATTGTTTCCTGTCGCGGGGCAACGTGCTTTTCGAGAGTGTCGGGCAACTTCGACTCTATCGGCTTCCATCCATCCACAAGCCATGTCTTCTCCGAACAACTGCTAGGCGAACTGTCACGTGACCGCCGTTCAGATGCATTAGAACCACAGGGAGTGGTCTCAAAGACCTCAAAACACCAAAGATGCACTTCGTTTAAACTTACAAGATATAATGATAAAACCCACAATCGTGTGGAAATAAAGGTAATGCGTTCTTCAATTTATATTTTGAGTTTTCTTTTTATTTTTTGTATAATTAGGAAACAAATAGAATTGTAGGTTTCAATTTTTATAAGCATTTCAAGAAATTACATTTTAATGCTTACTATAAGTGGGATTAAAGGCAGAATACTCTGCAATTTACATTATGAGTTTGTTTTACTTCACTGTAATTATATAAAGTTTGTTTACATAATCACTACTTAATGACACAATAATAGCTGGTAGAAGTAGTTAAACGTGTATAAGCACGATGTTCTATGAAGATCTTTTTACCACAATAATATTGCAATTATAACAATTGGCCGTGCCAAATCAGGCATGACTTTTTCTAAATATAGATACTTCAGAACATCATTTCATTCATTTAGGTATTGTATTGCAAAACAATAATTGCATTTCTAGACTTCTATATTAATTTCTATACATTACATGTTTTTTAATACACTTAGCTATGTTGGAGGACTGTTCATCCGTAGAGATTGCTATTACCTGTTGACATTTTTCTTAACAAGAGTAACTTACCACATGTACAGAACTTACATGTTATACTTTGGAAATAATTATATTTGTTTTCCTAGACCTATTTGAGACGATAGTTCTAAAAACGAATGTCACCAATTAGCAAGTATAGCCTTGACTGTCTTTTTATTTAGATTTAACATCTCAGGAAGATACATCGCCGACATTTGTCGTCTTCCCAGCTTCGCCATGGAATTTATTTTACAAAACACACAGGTAATTGAAATCTCTTTACCACGCAGATCATTAAATACATCAACTACTTCGACTGAATTACCAACTTTATTACTATTTTTAGTTTTTTGTTCTGGAATAATTGCAGTTGTCTAGAGATTGTGATCTCTGAACTCTACGACCTTAAAAAAGCCCAAAATATCCAAAATTTAAAAAAAATCAGTCGAATTGTGAAAATTTGGTGTTTTTTTAATTTCTGTGTTAATTTTTCTTAGTGAACAAATATATTAATTTACGTTGTAAACAATAAGCAATTTACATGTTTCTTGATATATGTTTCTGCAATGCCAATTTTTGCATCGAAAGTATTTTTGTCAAACTAACTTTTGAGATTTTATTGCGGCTCAGCCATTCGGAATATACAAGGAGTTGATTGGACAAAATATGTTTGAAATTTTCTAAAGAGCTTATTTTAGAAGTTTCGACGTTTTCTCACTGAACACGCTGTATTTTAGCACATATGATGGAAGTTTTTGCGCCATAAACGTAAACGTATCATGGTTTACGTGTACATTCATGAAAACGTATACATTCATGGATTATCAGAGCTTACAAATCCGGTCCTTATAAAAAACTAGGTGTGTTTATGTGTAGGGCACAGACTTCTGGGACGAGGACACGAGTTCCATGACATCCGACTTGGAGATGTTCTCGATGGCGCAGTCCGACGTGTGGGACGACAGCCTGGCGAGCGACCTGTCCACCGCTACCCAGGGCGTCTACGAAGGCTCTCGCTGGGACAGCACCTCCGGGGTGAGCGCTCTTGGATTGGAGAGGTAGCGCTCAAACAAGCCCATCCTCAAGTGATTTAATTGAATTGAATTGAATTCAATTCAATTCATGCCTTATTTTACGTGGCGAGACTCGGGCCATCAGGCCCGCTCTTCCGTCTGACCACGCAAATTTTGCTACGCTACGTCACCCACTAGCGAAGAAAGGAGGTATTTTTTGGGTGAGAAATAAGCGATTTGAATTTAGCTCAAAGGCGTTATTTAGGCTTGAGGATCTTTTACATGCAAGTAAATCTACAAACATGGGACTGCCGGCTTTCCTTCCCATCCGAAGGAAGGCATATGAAGGATTTTTTCGCCTTTAAAAATCCACGGCTTTGATCGAGTTTGAACCCGCTAACTTGGGTATAACAGTCCGATACGCTAACCCTTGCACTTTCTCCGCCACAAATTGATTTATTGATTGATTCTGGGCGCGTCTACGGCTAAGGGTTATTTTTATCAGAATGAGCCAAAGCTACAGTTCCCTAAACATGAAAACATCACGTGTAAGAAGTATCCCTCCGCCGTAGCAGTTGTTCAGACACGCCTCCTCGTAAAGTACAGGTGCGCCAGAGAAACTTACTTATTTGAAAAAATTCCCGCGCGGTGAGTTGGGTGGTTAGAGGGGCGAGAGGGGGCGTATCTGGGCGTATCTGGAGGTTTCATGTGGGGCCACGAATGTTCGACATGAAACACCCAGATACCCCACATGAAACCTCCAGATACGCCCAGATACGCCCCCTCTCGCCCCTCTAACCGCCCAACTCACCGCGCGGGAATTTTTCAAATAAGTAAGTTTCTCTGGCGCACCCTGTATTTGTTTACGACTCCCGTAACGAGCGTTACGGTGAAGAAATATAGAAGTCTAAGAGTTTCGCTCATGTACATGAACGTACGCGAGTCCGGGAAATATTGAATAATAATTAGATTTGTGGTAAAATGTCTTAATAATGTCGCGCTATATTTTCGTCGGACGAGGACATCACAAAACGAAGCGTCGACGCCTTTTACAAGTTAGCCAACTGCAAAAGAACGAGTGGAGAACGGAGAGACTAATAGGCTCAAGGACACAGCGACCGCAGAACCTTCAGTTGTATTGCCAACACTAGCTGTCAAAACGGTCCATTCATATAAAAATCGCTCTATATATGTGGCGTCATCATCGGTCAAGAAAATCGCGATAGAGATTACCGGGAATCGTTGCGCTGACCATGCGTCTTCTGTGCAAGCCCCTCTGGTAAACAGAAGGAGCAACCCATTCGATCGGTCTGACACATAAGTTGCCTTCCAAAAGATGATGGATTTACTCACCCTGCGTATTTGATCGTTATAACTAAATGAGGATTGTTTCTCTTGTTGGCCAGAGCGAAATTGATGTGGCCAGTTTCCACTCGGCGGAAGACCCAGGTTCTCGCCCGAGTACCGGAGCTACTCGCCCGTGTACCGGAGCTATTCGGCTGGGTACCGGAGTCGACTTCTCCGGAGAGGGAGATTCTGACATCGATCTGAAGGCATACTGGGATATCGCAGAGGTACCGCTGTGCGAGCGCTCTCTATTATCTTCCTTCACGTACGCTCATACTTACACTTACGCGGACTACATTATCACACACGTAGGGGCACCAGACCGGAGATTTCACCTTGTCTCGGTTGGGGCAGTGTCCCGCTTGTGGGACATACACTGACACTGAGGGAAAACACAAACTGACGTGTATGTCGGTAGCGGTTCTCAACATTCCACGCGGGAAAATCACAGACACATCCCGTGATAAAAACATACCCTACAATTCCACACATGGCGGAAAACCAGTTGGGATCATAGGGCTTATATTGGTCGGGGTGATGTCTCGCACAGATACCACGAGGAAGAAAGCCTTAATAGCCGACGTGTTGGTGCTGGATTTCACATTTCAGTGAGCAGCATCGGCACCTTCCAAGATATAACATGCAATACACTATTGAGGCTAATAACCACTGTGTTTGAAGCATCAGGAAGCCCTAAATACTCAATACATTAACCTGAACACAATATTAATAATTAGAATCGGTTTTCAAATCCCAATTATCACATTCGTACACATATTCTTACACACAATTTTCACATAATATCGCGAAGATGAAATGAAAAATGTTAAACCACTAGTAACAAATTCAGCCAGCGTATTCTGACGGTTGATCCGATGTGGTGTCGACCGAAGAGGCTTCAAGGAAGTTTTGTAATCTAAAAACAAGATTTCCAGTTGGTGATGAGCAAAAGTGGAAGTGGATGCAAGAACAAATGAAGATCGTTAATTAGTTGACAAAATAGACAAGTTTAAAATAGAATGTTTCTGCAAAATATTGCGGAACCGTATTATGGAGAATGATACATTTTATACATGTCACTTATGTTCAAATGCCACACACGTTTCAAATGCCACACATGTTCAAATTTCACTCATTAATAACTCTTGATCACTTATGCAGATCGAACTCTTAAGGGAGAACAGAAACCCTTTGAAATGTGGTTGTTGGAACGTGACGTTCACATGTAATTGAAAAAATTGAAATATAAACATTTTAGTATGGAAGAGACTTTTCTACTCCTCTTTGACATGTTTTTATGTGCAACGATGTTCGCAGCAGTAATTCAAGTTAATTATTACAGAAATTACAACAGGTATATAAGATTCAATACAATCACTTTATCTCAATTTATTAACTTTTATCAATCAACCAGTGGTTGATTTTGGAATTGTCTTTTTGGATTTCTTGTTGATGATGTCGATTCCACTTGTATGAATATATCAAATAAATATTCTGATTAGTAAAGAACGATGAACACATGTTACTTATACACATACACAGTGTATTCTCGCAATTATTGTGCACTAGTGGAAGTTCTTATATATTTATTTTACTTATTTTCCACAGCTGACACCCCCTCCTTCCAGACCTCAATTGAACACTACTGATTCACCAATCGGCATGGTTCCGTAAGTATAGTAAGTTCTAAAAGAAAATTCTGTATTCTTTATTAACATAGTGTAAGATCTTTTTACATTAAAGTTTCCTGTTTCCGATTTTGTTTTATTTTCTCCTCAAAAAAACAATAACATACAAATGGATGAAACTTTATGTACCATACGGTGGAGACGTATAATCATCTCGCGTCTTCTTGAACTCCAATTGATTTCTTCCCCGACATTTTACTATAAATAGTTGAATGATGAAGAGTATGAACCAATCTAGGTAAGCAACATTTGAAAACTAGAAACACTCGTTCCCTTCTTATTCGTTATACAGAAAAAAGACAAGAAAACATCAACTATTCATCAAGTCATACTGCAGCAGTATAGCTCTGAAGATGGCCGAAACTTTATTGACCGAGACGCGGCTCATCCCGGTTACCCAAGAATGTATTGACTCCGGCCGCGGAAGCCTACGAACACCGTAAAGATTACTTCAGCTAACCAAAAGATTTAGTGTTGAGGAGATATATCATTAGGAATACCAATTTTTTTTTAAATTTTCGTAGTTAACTAATTCATCCACTGTTTAATTAATATTACATTACAAGAGCATAGATTGACATTAAATGCTTCATCTTTTGCAGTTTCTTTGCGGCTCCAACAAATGAACTTCCTGTACGTGACAAACCGTCTCCCTATCAGGTATTCTTACATTATTATTATTATTATTATTATTATTATTATTATTATTATTATTATTATTATTATTATTAATATTGTGGTTGTTATTAGCCCGTTTACTCTCTATTAGGGCAAGGACTTCATGCTCAGGGCAAGGAGGCTTACATTATAAAGTTGGTTCTCGAGCCTTACATGCATAACTCGGGGACCTTACATGAATAACTTATTAAAAACTGTTTTTAATAGATTTCTCTAATTCTTTCCATTTTGTACGGTCTTTTGCAACTCTTGACCATTGATTACCTAGTTCTCGAAAGTCATCGGTCCATCTTCCTTGTTGTCTACCAAGGTTCCTCTTCCCTATTCGTGGGTCCCAGGAAGTAGTTCTGGATGTCCATCTGCCATCTTGGAGTCGTGAGATGTGACCTCCCCACCTCCATTTTAGTTGATGAGCAGTCAGAATTGCATATTGTATTTGTGTTCTTATTTGCTCACTTCTAATTTTATTTGTTAAAGATATTCGAAGACTGTTTCTTTCCATGCTTCTTTGACATATTCCAATGCCATTTTGATTTTTTCTGGTCATGGACCAGGCTTGCCTGTACGTCAGAACAGGTAAAATACACGTGTATATTATCTCCTTTTTCATTTTTATGCTATTTTTTGTTTAAAAGAATACATTTCAAGCTCCAAAAGTTTTTCCATGCTACTAAAATGCGTCAATTCTTTATCACTTTTCTTATTAAAGTATATTGTTTGTCCAAGATAGATGTATTCTTTAACTTATTCTATTATTTTGTTCTATATTGTAATTTCTTTCTCTTCTCTATTTGTCATTATTTTTGTTTTGCCAAAGTTTATTTTTAACCCAATTTTCTTGCTGTGTGTAATTAGTTCTTGAAGTGTGGTTTGTATTTCTTGATGTGTGTTACCTAATAAGACTATATCACCAGCAAATGTCAGATTAGAATGAACTAACATTCTGACATTGCATTTCCCGAATTGTTTTACTAATAAAGGCATATAGAAGTAAAGAAAGAGATGGATCTAACAAAACGTTTTGAGAAAAATGAAGATGGCAAAACCTCCTTCCCGTATTAACGATCTGTCAAAATACATCTACTGCTCAAATCGGCTGGAACAGGCTCAATAATACTTTAAAAGTAAAATTTAAAATTGTTTTGAGTATTATTCGTATTTGATAATTTTATTGTTTTGGTTATACATGTTTATTAAAATTAAGTGAAGACAATGTTTGTATAAAATTAGCGAAGTAACGATGTTCTCCGTTTGATTAACAAATATATCGAAGACAATATAATACTTGGTTATGTAAATTCACAATTGTTTTTATATAACTAGTGAACCCGGGAATACTTTGCTATTGCAGTTCATTCAATAAATACAATATGAAGTTCAAAATTAATTTATTAAATGAAAATTAACTACATATTAACTTCACTTGACTATATTACATTATACTTCAAAAATAAAGTATTCGAATCATGTTGTACACCGCCAGCATTTGGTTCAGACTTCCTGCTTTCTAGATTGCAACTTCAATGATATTCGATATTATGAATATTAGTCGTGTTGATGACCCCGTAACCAATAACTACTGATTTACTCACTCGCGTTTTTACGCTTATTTCCACACATACATACTAGACTAATAAATCTGGCATTGTCAGCTTGGCTGTGAACAACTAGACCTTCTAAAGAGTATTCAGAGTATTTCCACTTTCTCTGATCAATTGACTCATCTTGTAAGCTGCGAAAGTGAAAAATACTTCTAATAATGAGAAATATTTTTATGAGTCCATGCAACTGTGCAGAAAAAGACCTGGAGAGGTGGCTCAGGTCTTCATCTGATGTCACTGCAGTGCCTGTGATCGGGAAGTCCTAGGTTTGAGTCCTGACGGCGGTTGGATTTTTGCCTCTAGCTTTTCCCCGAGGTCGAATTCTGTCACTGTCTGGAGGCGGATTCTAGCGGCCGGCTGATCAGATCAGTAGTTTTCCGTCAACATTGGGCAAATGCCGGAGCAGTACTCTAACAAACGGGCCACGGACCGCGCGTGATCTTTCCATCCTTATCCTGTCTTCACCTCTTATATTCACACACTTACCCTAATATGCTCCATACAATCACATATGCCAGGAGACGGTCGAGAGTTTCGACTTTATCTCCACTGGTGCGGTATTCCGCTGGTGAAAGATACCTGGTTAGAGAAAATACCTCTAGCCGACGGTAGAACGGCGCCAGATCTCACCATTAAGCGGGGAACGATCATAGCCACTTCCAGAGGGAAAACCATGCACTACATTTACGGGAAGGAAAAGCACCTTAGCAGTTGACTCGCCAGGAATCACCAACAATTAATTGATGTCCAGGAAAAAGTGAAAAAAATAATTTTTCAACGCTTTTTCAAAACAAAATCCCTTTAATTGAAGCTTATTCTTCCAGTTCAGTAACAGTTCGTCTCATCACCGCGTGCAGCCGTCTCTGGCGGCGAGAAAGCGACACGACCCAACGCAAGAGCTGGGGGAGGATCTCATCGCCGACCTGGCCGTAAGACCTTACGCAGCACTCTGGCGGCACGTTCTGCGGTTGATGGCTCTAGGGCAGTGTTTCACAACGGGGTCGCTATCGAACCCCTGGGAGTCGATGAAATTTTAAGGGGGTTAATGATAATCAAGGGGTCGATTGGGAGTCAGTAGACGAATATGCACCGTCAAATGAGGTATAATCAAAATCCTACCAATCACAAAAAAGGTAATAATGTTTTGTTATTTAAAGTTCCAGAACTACTTATTTGACTTCTAAAAATTGAAAATTTTAATAGTACAGAAAGTAATAAAACATGCCTATCTGGGTAGCCGGAATTGCTAAGGCAGAAGTACCGTACCGATCACGGACCGGAGGATCGTGGGTTCGAATCCTGCCTCGCGGATGGTTATGCGTGTTTTGTAATTAAGTGTGTTGTCTATGTGTAATGTTCTTGTGTGTGCCGTATGTTTGGCGTCATGAAGGGTATCTACTTGTAAAATCGTCTATGAATCTGTATAAAAATGGAGTGTGCGGAAAATTAATAAAAATGAGCCCGTCCCCATTAGCACCGACTCCCTGGAAAGGCAAGGATAAGAAAGAAAAAATAAAAATAATAAAATATAAACCTCAAAAACAACGTTTTTTCGAACGTTTTGTTCATATTTTGTTGCTTATGCAATTGTTACAAGTTGTTTATGTGAATTTATTTATTACTTTACATGCTGTATATTGTAGAAAACTGGCAATGGGGTCGATGAAGAAAATGTTTTTTGTAGAAGGAAAAGGTTGGGACACCTTGCTCTAGAGGTACAATTACCGTGGATCCGTGTTGACACAAGAAACGTTCGGGCGAGGACAATTGACTAACTCTGCCAAACAGAAGTGAACACACTACGGTTACGAACTGTGTTCACTACCGTTTGTTCGAATCGCCAGCACTCTTAGATTGCCTTGAGAGTTGATTGAAGTCGTAGGCTTCCGCGACCAGAGTCATGTGGGTGATCTGGGCTGTCCGGGTGACGCCGCGTCGAAGGCTGAGTTGCCGACGTTTCGACCATCCTGTCGTGGTCTTCCTCAGGCATACCAGCATACCAGCCCTGAGGAAGACCACGACAGGATGGTCGAAACGTCGGCAACTCAGCCTTCGACGCGGCGTCACCCGGACAGCCCAGATCACCCACTTGAGAGTTGATTCATATTCGAAAGAAAAAAACTTTCGGAGCACACGACAGACTGACTGTGTCAAACGGTAGTGGTCATAATGCAACCATCTGTCACCACCAGAACCGCAACTATACACCTCTGAAACTAGGAAAAAAACAGCAAAGCATCTTCATTGGCCGTCGGTGGAGGGGAAGGTTCTCAACGTGGTGGGACTGTATGATTTGATCGAAGAGCGATTGCTCAAGGAGGCTTTGGAAATTTCCAGGAGGCCCAGAAACCTTGACAGAGATGATGGGCACCACCTTAGTAACACCTGGAGACGAACCCTCGCTCCCCGTCAACACGGCCCCGCCACGCTGAAACACACTCGCGGCCAATGACAATGCCGCTTATTGGCGGTTTTCCTTTAGGCGTTTCTGCCCATTCACGATAACGCATGCATCTTCTAGATGTCCATTTTATTTCGTTTTTATACGCTCTCCTTTCTGCCCCACTTCCCTTAACCTTTTTTTTAGTTTTTCTTCATTAGAATTCCGTTCTCGAAAATAATAAAAATAAGCAGACGTTTTTTCACCCTGTTCTATGGCCATGCACATGCAATGAAATAATATCCATTTTGTTCTCTGTGTTCCAAAACGATACAATTTTGTATACAATGTATTTTGTGTTTGATGTGAAAAGTATTTTGTTGTCGTTTCGAGATTTTAATGGGGATACAGGTGTAAGAGTGTTCTTGCAAAATTTTATGCCTCAGTTACTTTTAATCTTTTCTTAATTCTGAATTCTTCAACAGCCATAAATGGAAAAGTAGATCCCAAACGTTCTTGAATTGCTGTTGGCTTTTCGAGCGTACACTCCGAAACATTTCATTTCTTTGAGTCAGCAAAGAAATATAAATTTGATTTTTTTAATATTCCTTCTATAAAATTTCTGGATCGAAGTCAATGACGTTTTCAATGTCTTTTTTGAAGGCATTATAATCGCATCTTCAATGCTATGTGAAGAATACTTTATGACTCGCATTTGTTATTTTATGATTGACAGGCATGCTTAGAACACGGTATTATCCTGAGTGTGCGTAGACTGTGGTCACAGAAGCCTACGTCCTCGTTGTTTTGTGTGTTTTTGTGTGTCCCCAGAACCTTTGGGGGCAATCTATTTCCCTTTTCATTGCCTCTCTCTTTGGCATCCGTTCTCCAGCAGCTCACTGAGGAAACTCCAAGAACAACGGCTGACAGTGCGCACCTCACCGACAATGCGAGGTATTTGAGATATTCGTTTGTAATAGTTGTTGACTAAAGCATAAGTTTGAAATTGTCACTATTTTAATTTTTCAATACACAAAGACTAGACCTGGCACCTCCATCATACCAACAATATGTGGCAAGAATGAGACGACGGGACTTTCAGATGAGCGATCAGTTAATCTGTTTATTCATCAAAATGAAATCTCGACACATCACTAATTAACAGCATATTTATTCACAACTCATCCCCAAATTCAGAAAATAAAACACAAATACTTGCTATAAATAGTCTTTACAGGACGGTTAAATACATATTCATCTTTTTGTAATTAACAATTTGTTTTAATCTGTCCATCACACGTATACCAACTTAAAATATTCATTAAGACATACATACACACACACACACAGCATTATGTATATATATAATATAGATAATATATAATATATATATATATATATATGCAGATTTACACTTTGTTGCGTTGCCCATGATTTGATTATGCCTACTAGTTTTTTACCAATGTTACTAATGTACTGAACTGGAGAGTAGTACTTACAGAAAACTAGACATCAAATATTAAAGAGCCTTGATTCCTTGAGTGCAAAAATGTGGATATATTAACATCATAATCGCGGAATTGCCTTTATTGCGTGGACGAGACTCAGATCATAAGGTCTGCTCTTCCATCTAATTTATTCTCTAAAACTAAATTATATATATTACTAATCTACATCCTAATATTGACAAACTAACGTTATGATGTTACCTAACATACTGTATTATCAAACTGACATTGATAGACTGAACATTTATCTACTCATATTGACTTAATAACAAAGATATAAAAACACTAACAAAGAAACATGGCACACTAATATTACGATATTAGCACTCTACCATCGATATACATTTATATACTACCTTTGTTCTGCTGACATTGACATACGTTTATACTGTCGTTAATGTATTAATATTAGCATGTTTACATTAAAATTCCAACATTAACATACTCACACTAAATATGGGAGGAAGATAAGAAATTTTCAATTTCTTGTAATGCGTGATGTAAATATGATTCATAATGCAATAATGTCACGGCATAGGAGATTTAATTTTGAGTAAATGAACACTGGAGTTTTCTTATTTATGTTATCAGAAACTACTGTTTTGTCCTCAAAGAAGCGTATTCCCATAGAAATGATTTTAAGTGAATTTGAATTTCATCTCAAACAATATCTGATCAGAACATCAATTAAGAGACAAATTTGGTCTCAAATACTTTTCCTACTTCTAGAACGCTGATGTATTAACTGTAAGAAATTAGTTACAAATTAGTTTTAAGACACCAATTTCAAAGTTATAATAACTAAATCATATAATCCTCTTGGAATGTAATAAACTATCGTTTTTAAATCTGGAAAGCTGCTGATAGATCGTTTAAGAAACGAAAGCCGAGAGACAAAATAAATGCGCATTGCAGTTTGAGAAATGAAAAATTACGAATGCTCCCTGTTTTTGCGCAATTTCCACATTCACAAACGATCTAAAACCCGAAACAATGTACTATTTTCTACAAAGCTGAAATACATCAGTCTTCAATATTTTATTATAAATTTCCAACCCTATATGCAAACATTTATAAATAAAATTTCTACATCCACATTGTAGAAAGAAATTACCTCGTGGAGGAATAACCTAACAATAACAATTCACTTGAACCCTTATTTTCTTCCGCTCAATTAAAATAAACAAATATAGCAATGTTATCTCTAACATCACAAAAAACGCCTGAAGACTTTAGAATATTATATCTAACATTTTTATTTGTAACACCCACATATAAAGACATTGAGCTGAAGAGAAAGTAAAAAAGTCCCCGAACGTCGGTCTTCGGAAACATTGACACTATTTTTTCACGCATCGGATTGATTGTTGCTCTTTTTCCCAACTCTTCCGACGTTTTTGTTCGTTTTTATCTGAAAAAAAGATTTTCTCTTCTGCCGATACTTATCAGTGTGCGTGATATATCGACTGGCCATAAGAACAAGCCTCGCGACGTTTAAATGCAAGAAAGTTTGTTGATAAACTGCTCTGCAGCAACAAAGTGTTTCTCAGTAACATGACACAAGAAACATTTTCATCTCATGGGATAGAATGCACTGGCGTAATGCTTTACTTTGGATATGTCTCACCTATAATTTCTTCTCTGTCTTGAGACAAAAATACTGAAATATAATATCATGTTCCATTCTGTGCTTTACAGATACATCCTACCACGTAGAGGTGCAAACTTACTTGATATTACCAACTACGAGTACTACCAGGTAAATATCTTACGTTTGTGTCATAATAATCAACTATGGTAGAATTGCTGAAATTAAAATCTTTTACAACTCTGGCAGTGGAAGCATGGAGATTTTATCAGTATGATGTAATTTGCTTGAAGCGGTGTAGTGTGAATGTTATTATAATTATGAATGCCAATTTAATCTAGCAGAAAAATATGGGGTGGATAAAAATGGAAATAATATTTTATGCAAGACAAAAGAACCATACACATTTTTTGCATGGAATGTTAGATATGAACATTAAATATGGAAGGTTGGTAGTGTTGAAGGTAGGCTGACTAAGCACTGTTGTCATTGCTTCCTCCAAGAAGGTGCGATCTGGACGATTTCTACGGAAGTGACAGAGGATTGACAACACTGACTACATTGCTTGATGTAAATAGCACAATTTGTTTGAAGTACATGTTTTCGTAACACATTGCATGAGCTTAATTGTTATTTAGTGTATCAAAATGTCTGAACATTTGTTTTACCCTTGATACAAGACAGAATTAAAGAAGGAAATAAACATGAAGCAGTAACAAATAGTAAACTGTTGTAATCATAATTTAAATCTCGGTTGTTAATCTTGATATAACAAATCTGCAAACATTTTCGTGTCACACCACAAACGCCCACCTCGCACCGCTCCAGCTTGCGCGTATACTTCTATCTGGTTTTGGATGGGAAAAGAAAGCGAAGTCAGGTGAAGTTGCCCACGCTAAAAGGAGCAAGGTCTTTCTCAGGCGTGCTAGAAGCCCACATGGGCTCAAAATCACATGCCTGACCTACGTATTTACAACATAAGGTAACTGAGAATATCAAAAGCAGATACCAGCCGAGGTTTGTTTGAGGAAGAACTATTTTTCCCTGTTTTCGTTCACGTTCATTTTTCCTATGAACAAATTTTTGAAGGTGGAATTTGAGGGGTTTGCCGTATCCCAATTCATTTGATATTTTAACACATGATAGGTAAATCGTAGGAATTTTCCGCCATAATCCTAACTGAAAATGCGAGGTTGGTTGGGATTTGACAGTATCCTGGACTCCTCAATTCTCTTTCATCCGTTACGCTTGCATAAATGATACGATTCCGACAGCGAAATTTGACGGCGACGCCGGAAAGATGGAGAACCACGAACACCACTGACGACGAAGACGAGGACGCCGACAAACCGACTGGCCTGGGGCAGTGGATGGTGCACGGCGTCCGGCACACGCTGCCTCACGCGCCCTGTCCGCGCCCTAGACCTCTCCCTGACGTCAGTCCCTGGACGACCTTCGGACCTCCACTGTGACCTCAACCGCCTTCCACCCACCTCAACCACCCTCTGAGCCCTCGATGCGTTTTGTGAAGTGGCGAATAAAAAAATGTATTGTAACAATTTTTTTTGTTTTTATTCAATTCATAAAATTAATCTTCTATTAATGTGGGTAGGGGCGATCGTAGTTAACATGCCAATTTGATTCGCTTCATTTAAGCATTTCCAAGTTAACGGCATTGCTTGGTCCTTCGGCGTCCGTGATCAATTCTACACACTTTTGAGTCCACCTATCGTAAGCACACGCAAGAGGCCCGCGAGCTCTGCCTGTGCACAAAGTGCACAACTTCTCTTCATCCCTTTTGTAAAATGGCGAATAAAATTGTGTTGAAACGAACATTTTAAAAAAATTCACCAAGCTACCTCTCTACCAATATCGATAGTAGCGAGTGTACGTGTCTCGTCATTTTTTGCGAGCCAATTTTACTCGCTTCACTTCAGGATTTCGAAGTCGACTGCGTGCCTTCAATCTTCGACGTCCGCAATTGACACAAATCATGAGATCAGCTGTAGACGCACGAATCCTCACGAACTCTTACCCATCAATAGGGCACTGCCGATCATCAACCTCTGGACGACCTTCAGTGCCTGCCCGCCGCCTTCTGCACAGACCTCCTGAACTCGCAATGCTTCTTGTCAAACAACGAATATGAAGTTGTTTCTAACGAACATTTTTTACTCTTATTAGATGGCTACAGCTTCTTGCAGAAAGATATAATGATACTGTTTTATTGTAGAATAGATGTTTCACGAATCACAGAGAACTTTACAGTTTAGAAGTAAGAATAACTGGACATTGTCCTTTTAAATGTTTCGTTGGTTGCGAATTTACTGTACAGAAACAACCCATAGGGGTGTTGATACCTGGAAGTTGATTGAAGTTCGTGTACCAGCAGGTCGTGCACCAGCAGGTCGTGTACCTTCATTCTGAGCAGTAATAAGTAACTAATTGTGGACTGTCTCTACGGTAAGGAGTGAGATTGGAGTGGACCAGGAAGCGGAAATGTAATTTCTATTTATGTCATGGACATCCAATCATTTTTATTCCCATATTAAATTTCCTCACGATGTACCAAAATCTCAATCATGGTTTTGTGGATAACGTGAATGCTGTTGAAATATTTGATTCAGACAAGACGAATACCTGAAGACATCACAAAAATCAAAGACAGAACAAACGAACGCGCTAGGGTTACTTTTTCTCATACATGGAATGTTTTACGTAAAGTATAATGCAAATAAAAAACGTTGTACATTTGATCCATTGGTTTGAAGCGGAATCTCTAAAATTATCTGTTTACTTTCACCAACCACCAACAAATGTTTGACATTTATGCATATTAAACGGCTAATAATTGTGTTTCTAGAGTTTATTCTACTTATTTACTTTTTGCAATGATCGGGGTATGACATGTAGGACATACATCATATCAAATATCATTTTCCGGAACGGTTTGGGAAGGTTTTTTAGGTTAATTTATTCTTGTTTGAATATAATATCGTTAACATTTACAAACTGACATGAACAAAAAGTAAATTATTTTTATTGAAAACTGTAACTGAATGTTTTGTATGAAAAATATTGCATTTAGATAATTTCTAAAATATTTACTATTTTTATATCACCCTTCTTCCAAAGACTCTTAATATCTTCGAGTGTCATTGGACTGTACCAAGTTCGTTGCATGGGTCAGATTAAACTAAATAGAAATATTTATTGCAATGTTCTTCTTGGTGGTTTCCAAGCATACTTTAATGTAAAAATCAAAATGTCATGTTATGACCTATTAATAATACTTTATTTTCAACGCCCTTCTGTTGTTGATTTCCGCACTCCTTTTCCAAATACGATTACTCCCTATGTAGTATGATGATACTTGTAGTATGATGTAGTCTCAATGTGCCCCGATCTACAAATTATTGCTGTAACTACCTGATGACTGAACATAATGGCAGGGTTGCTGACCTTTTCAATTCTTGGGGCCAAACGTTCACAATGAGTCAGTACACGGAAGGTACGTCCTCCTTTGTGGATTATTTTGTCATATTTCCTTTTTTTTTGGTTATGTACTAGTATATCGATTAGTTTTTCATTTAAACAAAAAGCAAGATATTCTAATGTTAAATATTTGGAAATTTATAGGCGTCAATGCAAAAGTCGTTTGATATTTCCTAAATATTCCACGCAAATATATTTCTGCTACTCCAAAGATATAGCTACATTTGTTTACACTTATGTTGTGGTCTTTGTTATTTTATTGGGTTATAGTAAGACGTAAAAGATGCAAACGTTAGTTCTACGTTATTGAAAATAAATACAAATTTGACAAATTAAGAAAGATTGATTTTTATTCCTCTACATAGTCATACTTGAAAGCGAATTCATTAAATTTTCAATTAAAATATTTATACATTTTCAAATAAAATTTTACTTTAGCTTCTTGTAGTAGTAAATATTGTTCCATATTGGTTATGAATGTCAAAAATAAATAAAAGGAATACCTGCGGAGTGTATTTTTCGAACATAGTTTTTTCTTATGTTTTTTACATAGCTTTTTGTTATGCGTTTTACCCATTTTAGGCTAAAATACATTTAACAATGAAAGAACACCAAGAGGTCAAAATTGATCACTAATTTCTTTTTAAGTCATGTATTTTCCTATTTATTTAACTCTTTGCGTCAACTAACTACTAATTATTGTTAAAATCGAAATTAATGTTTCTGTTATCTAGATCAATCACCAAAATTCTATTAAAACTCGTCAAAATTCGAGTATATCTAAATGTAACTCCAGATGCCTATAAAATCTGGACACATCCATTGCAATCGAAATGCGATGGATAATTTCTTTAAGTTCAGAAGTTAATTTAAATATGTAAACCTACTCATTGCATAATGAGCGAGTGAAGACTTCAGTATTTCTACAATGTACGATAAGGGTAAACTCTAAAAAATCGTAATGCATCTAACTGGCTTCATATATTCTGAAATGATACTCAGTATTGAACTTCTTCCCAAGGTTGTGGTTGGTGATCTCATACGCAGGCTTTTACACCAAATGTGGCCATAAATAATGTAATAAGAGTCTCAAATGGATTGGAAAATAAATTATCCAGAACTGTGCATGCATTTGCAACGATGGATCTTCCATTTGCAAATTGTGTGCTACCACCACGACAGCCATCAGATCAAACCTGTTCACAAATTTTGCCTCCATCATCAATTCAACAACCAACACTCGATGACCAATTTTCCGGTGGTTCGTGGCAAATTCTTCGTCCTGAAGAATTACCAATTAATCAAACATTTTCCCCAGTTCATGAAGCTACATTGAACCATTCACAATCACACCGACCCATCATCGAGTGGAAGATGTCACCATACGGTCCGACGTATCAAATATCACCGTCAGCACCAACGCAGTTGTCTCCTACATTTCTTCCACCCTTCGTACCGCCATCACACGATTATACTATACGAAGATCACAATGTGAACGTATGTTGGAGATGAATTCAAGACTGCAGCCTCCACACTTTTCTCAACATGCATCGCCTGATTTCAGACCAGATACTATCAGACCCAGATCGTATTATGGATCATCGTGGCGCGACCAGAATCGAAGCAAATTGGAGAACCATTGGCCATCGCAAACTTTTCCACCACTACACACATCACCGCCATTGCGACAGCAAAGACGTCTCCGCGCCCCAACCACAATCCCGACTTCATCCCCACACATGTCCTTTCCGCAAAACCATCCGATCGATCGTTTATCGTCTGCCATGTCATCTCGATTTATGCCCTGTGCGTGGGAAACAACTTCACGTCGAGTGCAAACTGAACAACCACAACACCATCATCTGGGAGTGGACTTATTACCGTCTGAAAACCCAGTAATGTCGACACGAGTGCCGCATGTTTGTGTTGGGGGAGCGCTGGAGGGCTCGTTGCTAGTGCCACGTATACTTCCTTGGCCTCCTGCATATCCGACTGGATATTGTTCTGATGTAAGTAATTTTGTATTGCCTCATAATACAAGAATTCACTGTTAGTTATTTACTTCTGTATATTTGTGTTTTGAGTTGTTATTTATATGAAAACAATCCCTGTAAAGCAGTTATACTGGTCTGTGGGAATAAATAAAATAATAATAATATTAATAATAATAATAATAATAATAATAATAATAATAATAATAATAATAATAATAATAATAATGCAAGGATAAATGTGTAACATGGTGCATATCCGAGTAACACAGCCAGTAAACAATTGATGGGTAATAGACATGTGTGGCTGTCGAATAGGATAGTGTTTAAAAACCAATCATTCAATATTTACACTAATGTCATTTTGGCGAACAAATTTTGAGATAATAAGTTTCTAAACTTTTACTTATTACGGAAGTAATACATTTGAATTAACTGGTTTTCCTCACCCATTTGTTATCTACTATAATATACTGACATTACCAGGATTCGGGTGTAAGTTATACTATATGACATTTTGTGTGAAATCTAGATTCTTGGCTTTGAAGGAGAATGAATAGTTTTCTCTTTATTCCAAGTGGGTTTAAGTACAGATAATAAAAATGTCAATGATATAATTTACTTGTAGGTTCTGGTATCTCCTTATTGAAATACCTTCTGATCTTTGCATTACGGCTCCACATAAAATTATCAATGCAATTTTGCTTAAAAAAGAATATAGTAAAATCATAATCATAAAATTCTATAGAATTGGAGAATATTATGGTGAATGATGTTGCCTACAATTTGTGATTGTAATATTAAATAATAATGCAACTCTGAAGAGTGTTTTGAAATTACGGAGTGTACTTCATTAAAATACAAATGAAGCGGTATATTTATTTCATCGGCAATTTAAATACTGACTTACTATTATGATTGGCAAGAATCTATCATTATCGTAAATGATAATCTTAACACACTTGTAATGACTAAAACCATTTTCTAATGTATAATATCAGTAGCGTTTTTTTTCATTTAGTGGTTAGTTGCACTTTACAATATTCCGACATTACATTGGGGATACATATTTATGAATAAAGTTAATAATTATTATATGTATTTGCTAGTATATAATTATAAAGACTGCTTCTTTCTTTAGATATATGATCTTGGCCTCAACGCCATTTCTTGTCACTTAGTGCAAACTGTCCACAATTTTAAAAGATAATAATAGAAAGGAATAAATTACTTGTATGTACACAGCCATTCAGCAACAGTGGAAGAACAAGTCGGAGTTTCCCAGAGAATAAGAAAATGTCCAGAATAATTGAAGATGAAGAATCAGAGGAAGATTTGGAGCCGATTGATGAGGTTTGTAAGCATTCAAATAAATTTAAAAAAAGGAAGTGTGTGACTGACAGATAAATATTTTTTGTTCTTTCTAACGCGCAGCGTCTTACAAAAACTAGTTTATTGTCACATTTTAGACAAAGAAACTACTGCTGAAAATTTTATTGTACTCCATTCTGGACACTTAGAGATACCAACCTATTCTGATTCTTCAAATCTGCAGCCAAAGATCAACAGACCAACTTCCTCACAATCATAAATGTATTTACAAGTCGTTCTTTACTGAAACTATATTATTGTGGCCGAAGTCACATCGAGTTCGTTTGTTTGTCACAGATGGGACAAGGCGCACAGACGATCTTTGCTGTTAAAAATCCACCTCTTCAAAAGAGCTTAATAATAAACGATATTTCTTTAACCGAATGTGTTACCCCGCGTGTCATTGAAACTAAAATTTCAGTATTGAATTTGAAAACAGTTGCCTAATAATTACTTCTGAAAATAATTGAATTGGAGGTCATTTGAGGTTGCATAGTCTCACGTTTATGTTAGTTAAAAGTGGATTGCACGACAAGGTGGGATTATTCGCCTAGCTAGAACCCCGTGATAAGTCAGTAGGGTAATTGAAGAGGATTTGGTATGCGTACATTATTTAAACACAAATAGATATGCATGATTCGTTTATTTCTTTTGAATGCACCGGTTCCTGTTGAACACACATACATTTTAGAAACGAGAGCTTCATGCGCAGTTCTTGAAGACTTCGCGGGCGGGCGAAGGTTACGCCTTCGCAAGGTTGGCGAAGTACTTTTGAGAAGGACGTAAATACTTGCATTTGCAGATACGAAGGAAAGTCTGCCGAGGCGCGACAGTTTCACACAAACAATGCAATTGGCTCGATGCACGTGCACAAGCCAGAGTTTTTCGATATTACTCGTATTTCATTGTCTTTTTACAGGCAAATAAAAATAATGTTACAAACTATTAAACATTTTGGGGTCAAAGATGATCTTTATTTGAAAATAAACATATGAAAAATCGCAATTAAGTTACACGGGTGGCCCGTGCTCCTGTTGGTAGAGAACTGTTCTTCCACTAACTTACCTGACTAACTAACGTTTGTCAGGTAAACGAAATCACTTTTACTACGCCAGGGCGTATACCTGCTAAAAGCCACTTCAGTTGCTTACCAATGAGTAGTGCATGTAACGTCGTTGTATGATACAGGGTAAGTCACGTATGTTTAGTTCCTCCCGCATTTTTGAATGGGTGAAGTTATTGCAATGCAGTTTTCACAGAAGTGCATGAAGGTATGGGGATAATTGATACGATATTAATTTATATTTTATCATGTATATTTATTGAGAAATTGAAGCAACTTGTTTTTTTAATGAAATTATACATATTTTTAGTCTATCGTGACGAGCGTAAAAAGACGAATCTAATGTTACACATATGTTAGCTAACCATTTTTTTGTAATTTTGATTTTTGTTGACTCGAGTGTAACGGATAATTTGAATGTAACTGTCTGTCACACATGATCACGCAGCGTCTGTGCCCTGCTAAAACGCGTTCGTGAAAGGGAAGCTGATTTGAAGATGTGAAACGTATTTCAAATCATTACAAAACCCTTGCAATTCTTTCCTGATCTCTGCTTTGCATCCTTTCACATTTTCAGATTTTTTTTGTCTTTCTTTGATTGAAGGATTCAAAATAAGGATTTGTCGCACGTTTTGAAAAAAATGTTACCTCAGTAGTGGCTGAGAGAAATTTCTACGGCGTCTGGCGAGTTGTGAAACCTTCACCTGTATTTTGTTAATTCGTATAGATTGATTCAGAGTCATCCTTACGCGACCGACTACCTGAATTGAATGAGCTGGCGCTTCCTGATGTGGTCTTGGGAGCGATGAGCGCTGCTACAAACGACGAAGCCAATGAGACACAGGAGACAAGTAAGCGAGAAAATACGTTCCTAGCATTCTCGCACCTTCCCTTCCTCCTTCTCTTCCTCCCTCTCTACCACCGTCTCATCCAACCTTCCTCTCTCCCTCTCTTTCTCTCTCCGCATATCTCTTTATCTACGTTCATATGGCTATCTCTATCGTTTATCTTTCTACTAGCGGAAACCGGCAGACGTTCTGCACTGTATCTCCCTCTTTCTCCTTCTCTCTCCCTTTCTCTCTCCGCTTATTTCACCATATCTCTCTCTGTCTCTCACTCTCTCCCCGTCTTTTCGTCTCTCCCTCTCTCCCCGTCTCTCCCTCTCCCCTCGTCTCTCCCTCTCTCCCTGTCTCTTCGTCTCTCCCGCCCTCTTCGTCTCTCCATCTCTCCTTCTCTTTCTCCCTTTCTCTCGGTCTCCCTGTATTTCTACCTCTCTCTCTCTCTCTCTCTCTCTCTCTCTCTCTCTCGTTTTCGCTCTCTCTCTACCTCTCTGTCTGTCTCTCTCATACACATTTTGTTGCATATACTGCACATATCTGAGTAGGTGGGGTAATATCGAGAAGTGTCGGACCAGCAAAATGTAATAGAATGTTCAAAATGATCTCATCATGTAGATTACGATGTGATAAACTCATTTGTATTAAACTCAAATTTGTAGGCAAATCATTAAATACTGACGCAGAATAAGAGATTTTGTTAACCTCGAAACATCTGTGTGTGATGGACTGCCAAACTACCGGGGAAAAATATCGCGTATGACTTCGTTTTATGAAATTCCTCACTATACTTTCATTTGCAAAAAGTGATTCATTGCTACACCTGTACTTGTTCTAGAAGTTTGTACTATTTATTCTAAAACAATTGTATTTTTCTTCAATGATTCAACACACTTGATTAAGGTCTGAGCTCACATCTGTCGTACTCGAAAAGAAAAGACTAGTTTTTCGGAAATATTCTGTCAATTTATTATGCCTGGATTTTGAATGTTTCAAGATGTTTGATTCTTTTGTAATTATGGTTATCTTATATTTTATCAGCAACATTTGAGCCATTGTTATTATTATTGTTATTATTGGAGTTTTTACTATCATTACACACGAATTATTTCCCAATCCTTATCTTGTGATATCGCGTTCTATTGACGTACATCTTTTAAGGCTCATGTTTATTTGCATCGTGTAACCAAGTAACAAATCATGATGTCATCATGGACAGTGAATACTTGTAACCCTGTAATGGGGATCATTGATATTTTCTGGTGTGAAGAACAAGTGAAATGGCACATCACATAGCTTCTGGATAATGTAGTGAAAGAAAATGGGGTGAGAACTTTGGAATATTCAAAGTACATGTGGGTAAAAGCAGTTTATTGCGCTTGAAAAAATGAAACAAGCAGTAATAGTGTGTGTATCATATCCTTAACCTCAAATATAAATTTAACTTTGAAACAAACCAGGCTGCTTTCCAGTGGTTTCTTCTAATTACAAAATTCAGGTAAGAATTAGCCAAAACACATACATTCTACATTGATCATTTTATGTCAATAATGTATTAAGTTATAGATTAAAAATATTATAAATATTGAATTGTGTAAAGGTAATGAAAGATAATTTACTATGAAAGTATTACGAAAGAAACTAAAGCGTCTAAGATTATCTAAGGGACATTCTTCGTATACTATCTCACATTCAAGTAGTCACTAAGTTAACATTTGTGGTATAATTTTTCTGTTCATTATTTATGTTTGTTATCTGATAACAGGATTGTTTCAATAGACTTGATTAAAGTAAACATAAGCACGTATTATTAGTGTCTTTTTGCGATATACGGAAGTGTTATATTTGTGCTTTGGAGTTCCAGAAGCATCTCCTTCAATTGATATCTTGAAGAAATAGGAGCATGGAGAAATGGAATGTGAACCACTAAGCAGAAAGAACAATAGAGGAAAGAACAAATTGATGTTTACAATTTAAAAATACAAAAACGCAATGAAATTGGAAATGAAACAACTTTGGTTACATCTTCCTTCTCACCACTGAAAACATGGATACTACACCTAATTTGAATTCTGGTAACGCAATGAGTTTCTGTTATCCCCAACATTTGTCAAATACATAAATATATTCTAATTTAGTGAATGTCTCCGTCTTGATTAATCCCGGACAGGTCTTTGTAGATAAAAGTTTACTATTTCAAATATAAATTAACTAAATTTAGTACAAAGAGTAAGTCGATTATTCAATATGTCAATATTTCAATGTGTACTGCGCTTAAATTGAAAGTTTAAAAAATTAAACTGTTTGTTTACTCTTGTAGAAAACTAATTTCGCCGCGTCAATACGTTACTCATGCTAGAAATGTGTTCCGTTCACAGAACCGTCTATAAGCCGAAATGTGACAACAGGGAAATCGTCTACCCATTTAATGGGCCAAGGCCAGAAGCCCACTACAACAAGAAGTTTGGCGAAGGTCGATTCCCAGAAAAGTAGTCCCAGCCAAAAAGCGCCAGAGATTTCTCTGGATGAAGACTACCTTGAGGTACCTAATGAAAGCCGCGATTTTTACAAGTTGAGATGTAAACGAAATGCACTGAAGATGAAAAAATGCGCATCCATAAGAAAAGGTTTTTCTTTACTAAAAGCATCCGATAGTATCTTCAACATTGATATGTCAAATTTCCTATGATTTTTTTCTGAGATGCTATCTGTTGATTAACAATCGCATACCAATAACAAAACTACTAAATTTTTTTAAAAAAAATATACATGGCCTTAATGAAAGAAATTACGAAGAACAAATTCAATTTGAAGGGAAAATTTGAATCTTTAATTTTTTAGTTAAAGGTAGACGCCGAAAAAGTTAAAACTTTTACAATTTTGGAAAATTCAGAGTTAACAGTGAAAAACGGACTCAAACCATCTTTGTTTGGTTCTTTCAAAAAATGTAAAGAAAAAAATTTAGATCCATTTTTGACAAAATTTTGAAAATGTCATAAGGGCTTCATGTAAAACACTCCGAAATTAAATGATGGTCAAAATCGGAGAGCTGCGAGTGATGCCAGATTGATTGTAAAATATTTGTTTCGTCAAAAATGGTAGGAATAGTTTAGGCGTTAGTGTTTTACACAGACGGACTGTCATTTTACAAAAAAAGAACAGTTTTTTGAATTCAAGGACCCTTCAACATATATTTCTGTTGAAATTTTAAATTCGACTTTAGCATCATTATATAACTTTCTTTATACTTCGAATATTACTCCACATATATGTACGTATACAAGAAAGTAATACGTTGCTAGATACGAGCATATAGCTTTCCTCAAAAGGTACTGAAAAGAAAGTTAGAACTACTATTAATATTTCTAAAAGTGCATTGTGCTCCGAAACAGAGCTGGAGTGGCTCATCCACTCCGCTCACCGATTCCCAGGTTCAAAAGAGTTTAAAGCAGTCTTCATTAGCATAAGCTCAAATTTCAACAAGCATCCCGTCATTAAATATGTACGATGTCCTGCGAATGTCGTTGCAAGTTACAGGTGCCATCAAGGGCTTCTTTAATTTTGTTGCCAGTCCTCTTTCCATCAGCACGAGCAAGTGATCGCTCATCAGCGCGAAGTGCTGCAAGACCTGTCTCTGTGCGAATGGCCTATGGACGTGGAGCCTGCGTTGCGAGTATGTTTACCGAAATGTTAAATTAAGATTTGCGTTGATAGATCTAGATCAGGAATTCTCCAACTGGCGGCTCCTATATTGTGACCCGCCAAATGTTATTACTCCAAACAGCTGAGGTTCCGGGTTCGATTCCCGTAGAACCTTATGTGAAATTTGTAACGACAAAACGAGTTAGCATGCTTCCCAGGGGTTAGTCCAACCCTTGTGAAGCGTCCTAAACTTTACCCCGATCCTTATTCCTTCCCAATTCTGGCCGATGGGTAGATGACGTAGGGCGAGTGTAAGACGCGAGCTCGAATGCGCTAGCAGTTGGCTATTCTCGGAGGATTACTCCAATTGAAATAATTAAACAAGTTAACGGAGGATTACTCTGCAATGCGCTCAACGCTCCTCAAGGAGTTAGGAGACGCGATTACTTATCGGCGGTCCCTCACTTGACTACCCAGCGGATCGTAGAGGGTGCTTGGTGTTTAATAACGGAGGATTACTCCACGGTGGGCTCAACGCTTTTTCAGGAGTTAGAAGACGCTTAAGGAGTTTAGGAAACGTGAGAGTCCCTTACATCCATGTCAGTAGAGAACTTTGCGCGCCTAGCACACACGACCTGTGGGGGTCAACGCTTCCTTAATGTAAATATGAATTAGATTAAATTTTTTTTTCTAGAAAAAAAATCATAAATTTAAAATCATCCCAATGTGTTTCACTGCGTTATGCAAGGTACGGCCTGTTACCACGCAATGTTTGAATCCCACCCCACCCCCCGTTTCAGAGCAGCCGGGCAAACGGCTGAAATCAACAATACGGGACCACGTGTAGATTGCCCGAGTAATGAAAATACCGCCCGCAACTCTATTAGTGGTTTTACGTAGTTGTGGCTATTGAGACCTTGCAAATTGGACACCCCTCATCTAGTCATAATTTTATGTAGTACAGATGTGATCCTGGAGATCAACTAAGTATTGTCTTTGCTGTTAAGTACTATTATATATTTATCGTATTGTTGATATCTTAATCAGATAAGATAAAACGCTGTGAAAAAATCAACATCATATAGATGAAACGTACTTATTTTTACGTATTTTCTTAAAGTCGAAAACAGATAAAAATGGTACGAGTCGTAAGGAGAAGAAGTGCAATGTGGCCACATTACGTGAGCCTTAGAATACCTACCCTATCACGTATACATATTTAAATTATGAATACAGTGTCAATGGCAAGGTTTGATGACAAGAACTATTTGCTTCCGATCTAAAATCCATGCAACGGCAAATGATCTACAGATTTTGGCTATTATACTTGATAATGTTCCCGGTGAAGGTATGAACTTAATACCGCTAGAACATGGAGAACGATTACTACTGTTACTAGAATATTTCCCAGTAACACACAGCACTTATGAAAACGTCCAAGCAATAAGACAATGTACATTCTTAACAGCTGAGACAATATTTAATTTTAGGGTTTCGGGCAGTAACGATAAGCCAGCATCAGCAGATCAGCAAATCAAGTATCTCGCTATTCCTAAATATTAATATCTTGATTTTGGTCAAAGTGTCTCATATTTTTAGAAACTAAAGATCTTCATAAATAGGCACACGTCGTAGTATGCTATAACAACCAAATAAGTCACACTTTCACCAAAATCCATAAAGGATCATTTACAAGTAGAGAAGGACTTGCTGCAGTTGTTGCGGATTATCTTGTTACTGCCTCACGCTCTTCAATTTGTAAATATGGTTTCTTGACGTCCTTTAAGAAAGCCAATTTTCAAACTGTTTACTGTTTTTATACAAAACATTTTACATAAATCAATAAAAAGCTCTATTTTATTTCCTACAGCACTACTGATTACCTTAATGTTCACCAAATGACGTCTCCCACTTCTGGGATTCGGAGAGCGGTCACTCGCCCCATTCGCCGAATGTCAAATGTGTGGAGCCACCCGGATGGTGCCTCTCCACTACATAACGTTTACCACCAACATCTTCAATGTACATTTTCTGTATCTTCTCCTTTTAACATGTTATCTTTCAACATGTTGAACATTTTTAACACGTTGGATGTTGTCCAGCAGGAATGGAAATCGTGTGAAAGTCTGTCACTTATGCAGGTGTTGTGGGCTAAACTTGGATAGGGATGGTGAGTTTGCATGGCAACAGCTGTATTTCTAATTTTGGTTTTTGGGTATAGGATTAATTCAAATGAAAAGATCAATGGAAGAAACAATGAGCATTTTGGAGGTTATGATAGTCCACTTAAATTTATGGAACATTATATTAAGTGAGTGGAGAGGGAATACAGGGAATATAAGGAGATCAGTCGGTAGCTGTTAAGTTCGAATACTGCTGGGACGCAGTCTGAATCAAATTAGCCAACGCAATCGCAATAAAGCTGATAACTAATTCTGTTGGAAGGAGGTATATTGCCCTGAGTCACATTTACTAAATTATACAGGAAAGAAGTTTGGATATGTTTTACTTTGGATGCGGACTTCGTGATATTTAAAAACACTGTAACTCCGCCAATCCATGTAGAACACAGTGTTGTACAAGTACTTGCATGCCTCTAGGTAGAGGAAAAGAAATCCATATGATTGTGCCAATAATATAATTTCGGCCAAAATAATCATAATGCCCTATATATCCGGCCCACTGAAATAAAATATAAAAATAATACGAAGCTAATGTAATCCAAAGGGAATATTAACACTGATGAATAGCACAACTGATATCTTATGGGTTATGCAAGTAGTGGCGGTAATTCGTGAACAAATAAAGGTCGCACTCCCCTCAATCGCAAATCTTTAGAATATCCTGTACTAAATTCAATCAATTCTGAATCAATCGCCCCGGTCAACAAAAATCTTGCCGAAATGTTAACAAACATTAACAATTGTAGAAGCATTGTCAATGGTAAAACATTCAATTTATACTTGTAGGATGCTAGGATGCTTAGCGAGTACAGGTTAGTATCTTCTGGGCTATGCGAGTAGTGGCTGTAATTCATGAACAAGTGAATTCCTCACTCCGCTCACAACTAGCAGTTCACTAGAATACCCAGTACTAAGTTCATTGGAACCTGTCGCCCTTATCTTCAAATAACCTGCGGAATTGTTAACCAGCATTTACAAATATGGACGCAATGTCAATGGTGGATCATTCAGCATAGGTGTGTAGCTTGTTAGGATTACCCCATTGGTGTAAGTTTCGCATTTCACACGTTGGTGTTAAAAGTTAAGTAGCGGAGTCGCGCCTGTAACAGCGCGGTGTGCTAGAGGTGGTTCGCCTGCGCAGCAAGAGATGGCGTGGGAGGCGCTACGGAGACAACCGCCGCCATCTCAGGATCTGCTCAACGACATGCATTTCGACGACCCGCACCGCCTCTACTGGCGGGTGGTAAGAACCCTCTCCTCAGACTCAGCACGAGCAATACAATGGCATAAATGAGCATTAGTAAGCAATACCGGTATACCGTTGTAAATGAAAGAAGTCCGTAATTGAGATTTTAAGGTAAATATGTGCAAAATAGCTATTAATGATACAAGCGGTAAAAGTGACATTTTATTTTGCGAGTAGGAAACGTTGCGACATGAGTCTAATGGGATGAATGGCGGAATTCTACGAGTAAAATAAAATCATTTTTACAACGTGCGTCATACACTTTTTTTAGAGAGCCTTACAGACTTTCCTTTTACTTTTAATTCAAGTATACAAAACCAATCACTTAATTGAGTACCATGTTACATTAAAACCAGTTGTAACTGATCGGATGAAAATATTTTGTTTTCTTTGTTGCATTCACTGTTTTATCTCAACATTTGAGCATAGTCTCACATTTAGCGTTACTAATAAATATGGAACTTTTGTATTTCGATGAAAATACAAATCCCTTTCAAGGTCACGAGCTAACAAGAGAGCGGGGAATGTCATCCAATCGGGAGCTTTTATCCCCTTCCGTGGGCTTTTTCTAGCATCAGGGGATGCCAATTTTCGACTACCAACGCCCGGGCCCACTGTCCCTCATGAGGACATTTGTATATTAAGATATTGCACTAGACACAGACACACTTGCGGGCACCTCTGTATGTGGTCGGCAGACACACATACCTTTCCACGACAATACATACATGAAGGCCAAGGAATAAACAACCATGCCCACGGCGAGACTTGAACCCACGTCTCTTTCGAGGGAGGCAATGAGTCCGCAGACACTGTCAACCTCTGCCACCAACCTCAACCGATCTCAACCTCTGCCAGCCAGGTCGGCCAATTGGGAGCTTCAAAATCAAAAATTTTAACTTCTACGGAGGGGTCGTGATTTGATGAGAGTGTCTCCCTCTCCTGCCAGCCCGAGACCTTCAAAAGAACTTACCGTTTTAATCGGAATGTAGCACGACGTGCATGCCAATTGCTGCTTGGTAAATCTTGGTTCAGCACCTGAACAAAGATTGGTAAAAAATTTACCTCGTAGGTCAACACGCCCGTACCCTCCATTGCTATTCCACTGTAAAGGGGTTGATAGAGTTATGCATAAGAACTGATGTTTTTTAATGTAACACCGCACCCAATCTAGGGATTGCGGTGGAGGGTTAAATCATCCAATGTCAGTCGAGATTCTAAATAGAATTTGTTTGCTTTTCAGCCGTCTATCCCAGAACAATTGAACCTGATATCGGATGATGTCGAAGAGTCACCCCCCGAGGTAGGTAGCGTCATGCAATAGCGCGAACAAACGAACGTACACCTCACGTTGAAGAAATATAATTATTAACCTTTTTACATTTTATATACTTTTCAGAAAAGCCCCGCTTTTTCGTGGCATTTATTTCTTTCTTTCAACTATATACATATTTAGTTGTGCAAAATGAATGTAATTTTATTTGTCTACTTCAATGATCGAAAAGTAAAACTTAACGAAACTCAGATCAGTGTTGTAATAAGAGTTATTACAATACACATTACGATTACGATACACTCACAATGTTGTAATAATCCATGGCCCACTATTAGTCCAGTCATAAGTTACATAAAAAAAGCAAATATCCGTAAGTTTTGATATTAGGTTCCTGTATGTTTTTTGGGACACTGAACACGAATATCAGATTTGCCAACAAACCTTATGCCCGAAATTACACCTTTTAAGTGCATAATGTGCAATTGTCATTTGACGCCTTCTTTAATTGTTTTTTAAAATAACCCAAAAGCCATTCATTTTTGATAATTAATGGTCCTACATGAAATAAACGAAGATAAAATTACCTACATTTAGAAGCAATGCTGTCAATACCATGATTTTTTAAACATAACTCCTAGCCGGGATGCCGTTGCAATGAATTTCGCAGCAGTTTTTTTATCAATTACCCCTCAAAATGCTCGGTGAGGTATCTGATTCTCCAAAAAATTGACTAGATATTGAATAAAAGAAAAAGGTAGCTTCACCTTATATTGTTTTCTGTAACAAAAAAAACCTATGCTCGCGAAATGTAGGAGCCTGAACTAATTTAAACTTATTTCATTCAAACGTTTTTCATACCATCTTTAAGAACATAGATATTGCTTTCATTTAAAGTATTTTTTTTACTTAGGATACTTCACCGCGGTCGATCTAATAAACATACTACCTAAGATAATTGTCTGTAGATATATTTAAATCTAATTTTAATCTCTAAATATAATTTTTAATGGCAGAATATAAATTTTACGCTACACTGAAATATACGCTATTAGTCACTATAATTGTTATTTACTGTACGAGTGGTAAAACTAGCATTTTATTGTGCGAACAAGAAAGATTGCGACACGAGGTCGATACGCCAAGATGCGCAATCTTACAAGCGAAATAAAATCACTTTTACTGCGTGTGTCATACACTATTTTTAGACAATCTTACTAAGTTTGGTTTTATTTTAGTTAATAACTACACAAATCACTCATTGTGTGCTATGTTATGTTAAGAACAGTAGTAGAAGGTGCGGTCAGAGGAAGGAAAATATTTTATTTGTAGAAATTAAAAACAGACTTAAATGTATGAACTACAATTGTAATATTAGACTTTAAATTATATTAATGGTATCAATATTTTGTTTACAAGAAATATTTTTATAAATTATTCCCGTACTTCGAGTAAAAGTGAGCCACTGTATGAGGCGTACGTTCATTTGTTAAAGCCAATCAGTCTCGGTTATTCTCTCACGTTCTTTAATACTTCTTTTGAATTTGTGTTGTGTTTATTGTCCAGGTCTTACTTCAAATTGTTTGTGTTTTGGCAGTCGTTAGCGCAGTGAGCCTTTTGTGCAAAGTGGTGATTGCCTTTTTTAACGGGAGGTAGTCCGGCGAAGGTAGCCATCCGACTTTCAATGGGTGCGTGATATAAAATAAAATATTAAATATTTGACGAATAAGTGATTAAATACATTACATTTTTCAACAAAAATGTTAACGTTCATTCAATTTTATATATAAATACTTATAAGTGGTGTAACAATGTTCTTCCAATAGTTTTTATATTTGTAATTGGAATATATTATTTTCAAGTTTTCTATGATTTGAAATTATCTTGTTGAGAAGCATGGGGATATTTACATAGACCAAAAATGTATATCTGATTGTAAATAAATGTTTAAATGTAATACGTAAAAGTTGGCAATAAATATTTGAATATTTCTATCATATCAGAGACAATTTGCTGTAAGTTACGGTTATCCACATGTCAATTACTACAGGGTTCTTTTCACTGACACACATCTAAAAAAATATGTCCTACGACTTGCAGTTGAAATTTCTCGCAGAGGAAAGTATATTGACATTTATGTGCACCAACTGAAAAAGACCCTCATTATGCAGTAAATGTAAAGGGTCATCTTTATCATTTAGCATCGACTGGCATTCAACTATTATATTTTAATAAATTATAGCTACTAACCCTTGTCTCGATTTTACAATTTGTTTTCAAAACACGAGAACAATATTTCGAGGAAAGGAAATTACATTAAAATTTGACTTTTCACAACTTTCACAACTACTTCTCACCATTGCAGATGTTGTTCTTGGGGTTTGAAGATAAACTACAAAGTCATATCTGTAATTCATTTTCCGATGCCAATTCGTTCAAAAAATCAAATTTATAGTTTTCAAATATTGCTCACAATGATTTTTGTTATCTAGTATTCGATGTATGTAGAAGAAACGGGGAAAGCATTATGGAACTAAAGAAAACCTGCGCAGATTAAACGTTGTAGTCTTCTTTGACCTCCTAAATTACTGAATATTATTTTATTGAGTATGTATATTTCGAAAATTGCCAACGCTTCGTTTTTATTAAGCCTTCCTCACGACATTTTCGGTTACTTTTGAATTCGGTACACGGTAAAAAAGCATGAGTAATACTTAATAAAACCCAAACCGACAATTTCGAAATATTGATTTCCATCCTTCATCTAAACTCGATAATATAATCTACAGCTCAGATTAAACTACCCCTCTAGGCATCACTGCAGGTTTTGTGTATAAATAAATTACCAGCAAAATAATTCAAGACATCAACTGATGTCACTGCAATGGTAATGACTGGGAGATCCTAGGTTCGAGTCCCGACGATGGCACGATTTTCGACACTATCTAGATAGCTAGGTCAATTTCAGCCGCTGTCTAGAGGAGAAGTCTAGCGGTGGGCTGCTCTGATGGGTAGTTTTCCGTGGTTTCTCCTATCAACACCAGGTGAAGGCCAAAGCAGTACCCTACCGAACGGGCCACGGGCAGCGCGCGATCTTTCCTTCTCCTTCCTTGTCCAACCCCTTAGTTACATACACACACGCACACTTATATGCACTGCACTATCGCATTTGTCGGGAGACCCGTGAGAGGTTAGGCCTTGTCCCGGCTGGGGCGATTCCGCGATGACGAAGTCGGGGAAAATCCTCACAAGTCGACGTAGATCGGTGCCGAATATCACCAGCCACATCCCCCGAAGAAAACGTGCACTACAAATACGGTACCAATGACTTTAGCAGTTGGCACGCCCGGAATCACTAATGAATGAATCAATCAATCAATAAATTGAAATTGAAATCAAGTTATCGAACGGAGAAGAACAACCCTTGTTACATCACTTGTAAGTATTTATTTCTTTGCAGCCGCCCTCGCCCGCACGGCCTCGCCCGCTTCGCCGAATCCGCCCTCGCCCTCGCCTTCACCGTCGCCCTCAGCCGCGCTCTCGCCCTCGCACGCCCCTGCCCCTGCCCCTGCCTGCGGCGCCCTCTCAGAAGGGCGTCCTCAGGGCGCCTCCGGGGGCGAGAAAGTTCCCCGTGGCCAGAAACCCGCACCAGCTGCGAGGCACGTACTTCAAACAACACTCCATTGTATACCCCCCCCCACTGCGTCAAGTAAAACGGAATGGTTAAGGGCGCCTTCCCACGCCGCCACGGCAGCGCGCGTACGTCAATCAGCAGGGCTCTTCGCCGACCCTCCGGCGAAGACGAACAGAGGGACCGCAGCACGTAAAACGTAGCGACCGGCGGCACAGTGGGAAGGCTCCCATTTAAAGCTGTGTTCTGCTAGCGGTGGCGCTTCCCCCCTCCTCCGCTTCGCGTAGCGCGAGTCTTGAAGGAAGCGCGCTGCCGTCGCGACGTGGGAAAGCGCTCTAAGTTTCACTACGCGATGCAACATGGGCGGTTATATTTTCATCCGATTCCTTGAAGTAAAATGGAAGGTTAAGTTTCTACCCGATTGCTTGAAGCAAAAAGGATGGTTATGTTTTTATTGCACTGCTTGAAGCAAAAGACGAGGGTCGTGTTTTTATTCCGCTGCTTGAAGCGAAAAGAGGGTCATGTTTTTATTCCACTTTTTGAAACAAAAAGGATGATTATGGTTTTATTTAGCTGCTTCAAGTAAGGAGGGTTCTGTTTTTACCTCGTTGCGCGAAGTCAAAAGGAAGGTTATATTTTATCCGTTTGCTTGACTGCTTGAAGGAAATGTTTTTACCCGACTTTTCGATGCAAAAAGGGCAGGTATGTTTTTACCAGACTGCTTAAAGCAAAAAGAGGGATATATATGTTCTCGATTGCGGGAGGGTTTTGTTTTCATCCCAGTGCTTGAAGCGATAACGAGGGATATGATTTTGTCCGACTGCGAGAAGCATTAAGGGGCTTACGATTTTCATGTCGTAACTGGGTGTTGCTGATATTTCTTAACATGTGATTTAACCAACATTTTCCTGTGACGTACGTTTATCTTCGTCTTTACAGACAGAATGCCGTAGGTTCTAAACGGATACTTAAATAATATAAATGATGAACACTGGGCGCCATTTTCGTCATTGGTTAAAAATATTAAGAGATTTTCTTACGTTAGGATTTCCTTATGCGTCGATTTCCCTTTCTGAGATAAGTTCGTCATGACATCCTGCATATCGTATAATAATATTTCATTTACTTAGTTATCAGCAATTATCTTTAAAATATGAGTGGATCAGTGCCTGAATTGTCTAATCCACTAAGCTGTGAAGGCACTCTACAGCATGGATCTGAACTATCAGTTGTATAAGTACCAAACTATTTAATCCTTGCGAATGAATGAATGAATGAATGAATGCTTTATTGGCAATTCATTACGGCATACATTCATTCATTCAGAAGGATAACGAGAGCATTATTCAGAGCCGTACTTCATAGGAATATAGGACGTCACGACTTCGTGGGTTAGGCAGCTCTGGTACTGACCACTCAT